CAAATAATTTTATCTTAATTATCTTTAACAACGTTATTACGCGTTAAACAACGTTGAAATAATATTGGATACGAAGCAAACTTAAAAAAAATTTTCCGAACCGAATATAATCATAAATCAAATTTATGTAGTACATTTCCCAATTTATCTGCACAAGCGAAACAGATGCTTGGAAAAAAGTAACGTTAATGTTACCAGGACTTTGAGTAGCGCGAGAAGCTGACGAGAGTATTTTAGGGAATACGGTTAGGAAATCAGGCAGTGCTAAGATTATTGTTTGCGAGGAAGAATCTGATGCAAATCGGGCAGCAAATTTGGGATGAAGTCACTTGCGGATAAACCTGGCGCGAAGTCGAGGGGTCACAAGAGGTTAAAACTGTATGAACGAAACCGACGCGGGGAGTCGCTAGGTTCGTCGCTAAGTAGAGAAAGACGGCGGTGAAATCGAGGAGCTACTAGAAGGTTGGAAAATAGCACGGACGAACTTGATGGAAATGTCGTGCGGCAGATTGTTCAAAAGTTGAAACCTTGAACCGTTCGGTGAAGTTCTATTTTTAAGGGAGACCGGGAGGTTTAAGAAATAACGATTCTTCCAAATTTGACAAAAATGAAATTAACGAAGATAATATGAAAAACATATTACTCTCAAAACTAAACTGCGAACTCTGAGTGTATACATAACGTTTTGTCCTCGTTAGTTTTCCTTTTATCGTTAATGAAACAAAGTAACTACACAAAAATCACAACGTGACTTTCTCTTCTACGTTTATCCTGCTTTCAATTAAATCATACTAATTAAGTAGTACTAATTAAAAGAATATTCCAACTTTTACATCTTACCCTTAAATATCTGTTCGAGGGTACCTGATCATCCAAAACATTTGTTAGTCGGGGGTAAAGTAACTGTCAAAACGGGATTCTTACAAGAGAGTTCAAGTTTCAGTGTACACAGATAGTTTAAAACAGAAAAGAAATTGTTCGAAAAGGTTTGGTAGATAATTTTAATTTATAGAAATTAACAGTTTCATTGGACCCCTGAAATTAAGGGAGGAAAATAGAGCAGAGTATCTGAAGAAGGAATATATGATACGATAACGAGAATCAGATACGGTAACGTAATGACGGCAGAGTTAACAGATTTTGTATACAAGCAGAGGAGAAGATCGGTAGATTGTATGGACAAGAGGAAAGGACGAAAGAAGAACACAGAGAAGTTGAAAGAGAAAAACAATTAACCAGAAGGACGATGATGCGCTGGCAAGAGAATCAAGACGGGAATAATAAGGAATAGGGAAAATGGTAGAAAGGAGAAGGGAATTGGCTGAATAAGATTCGCGAGTATTTTAAATCTCTTAAATATCGTAATTGTCTTCAATCTATCGTATGGATGTACATGTATATTGATTTCATAGGCATAACCACGTAGCCAAATTCCTTTCCAAAGTCAAAAAGTAAGAAAATAAAGCTATCTGGCTCGTTTTATGAACGTGCACGAGTAAACACTGAACCATCTAATTATTTTCCATGTTAACTTTTTAGAAATTCCGTAACGGAAGAATTTTATTCAGCATGTTTTATGTAGCTTCTTATGAAAAATTTGTTTTCCAATTTTAACAAAATTAACGTCAGAAATTGTAAAGTTTCCGACAAAAGTATTCGAACGAAAAAGTTTCATTTAAAACTTAATTTAATTTAATCGACGTAAAATGTAACTTACGTAAAATGAATTTCACTTTCAGTAACACATTGTATATTAGGTACTATGATTTAGAAATATTCGTGTTCTATGAACAGATACTTTGCAGCCCAATAAGATTATCTTGTTGAATGAAGAACCGTAAATTGCGTAAAACCCACTTGAAGGATTACGTAGAAACTTACTGTTACATCTATTGAAATATAAATGTTAGTGTAATAAAGTCACGATAAAACGTATAATTGCAGCTATTGCATTTCATTGCTTATAAGTCAGTGACAAAGTGTCTGTTCACCATAGAATTCGATACATCTTGAAAGCGGATTAACTGTTAAGCAACCGCTAAGATTTCAGAGTTCTGTAATTTAAAATATGTGTCAAATCATTCTCACTTGTATACTCCTTCGTTGTTTAACAATTGTGTTTTTCTGTACTCGTATAACGTTTAAGAGGAGTCGTAACACTCTTATAAATACGAAAGTGAATAACACGTGACTTGAAAGATTTGCTTTTAAATTCGATGTTTTTCGTTATCTGCATGTATTTACGTAAAGTTCCGAAAATTTTATATACCAATATTATCGTTGATTTTTATATATCCAACCTTTTATTGACAAAAGAAGTATATTTATAAATCATACAGTATACGTAATAAAAGCAATCATACGTAACGATTTAATTGAACACAATTTCATATTTAATCTTTACATTTAATATTTACATTTTATTAATGTATATATTAATATCTAATATTTTTCACATTTAATTCCTGTTAATCCTGTATCTACATATATTTGCGTATATATATCATATTTCATCTTAAAAAGTAGCATAATTAATCTATATATTGTATTATGTTTCACTTGTTTACGTTTAAATTTCGTTCAAAATAATATCAAAACTATTTTTTCGCTCAACCGATTCTATACGCTACTAATCAAGCTAATCAAACTAAAAGATAACATTGTAAAAATGACAAAAGTATTAAAAAATGTACGAATAGCCGAAAATAGTTGAGAAGTTTTCGATAGAACGAAACTAGGACGAGAGCATCGCTTTACAATGAGAACAATTTGATCTTTAGAATCCTTTGTAAATGCTATGTGCAAAGCTATCTATTAGCATCCAATGAATTAACATGTCAGTTACTGCGCTTCTTCGTTATGTATGTATATAGATGGACGAATTGGAAATAAACAAGTGTCACTGTGGCAGACGGGACGGGGAAGGAAAATCGTAAGTTGGATCAATTCTGGAAATCTCGATCTATCGAGATGCGAGGAACGATAAACGAGAATGCGTTGGTGTTCCACCTAGGGAGTGTCGCAAGGATCGCCGATGCTGTGCAGCGAATCGTTGCATCGTGCATCCTGCTCGTAACAGGCAACCAGTGAAAGGAATACGCCCTGTGATGATCCGTGGCAAATCCGGCGATCTGAATCCTGTACCGAGGTCGCTTCGGTCCGTGTCTTACGAGACATTGCAAACTGGCCGATTTAATAACGCCTATTTGACGGCCGTCTACCATCCTGTTAGAAGCTCTACTCCAACTCTTATGCTATGCATCATGAATAATCGTTATTAGATGAACACGCGAGAATTAAGATTACACGAGTTAGACAGTTTGCATACCGCTGTAATTGACGGTCTTACAAGCAAAAAGCTTTTTAAATGTTAATAAGGGAACAACTGTCGAATGCCAAATAGAAAAGAATCCTATTAAACTGTAGGAATTATATCTCTTATATACATATGCATACGAGATGCGCGTAAAGTTTACGAAATATATTCGTTCGTGTATTTCCTTACATTGCATTGTGTGTAATTATACATGCAAGTGTAACAGATTCGTGCATCGATACCGATACTATAAGATAAGATGTCAAGTTTTAAAGCCAATGATTGATCTATCCTTTAATGTTTAACAGAGTCATCTTTAATATATCGTTGTTACACACGTGTGTGTGTGTGTGTGTTCTTTCTTTTTTTTTTTTTTTTTTTTTTTTTTTTT